CAGTAATCAAAGAAAGTTTAGCTTTTTTAACTATTGATTTCCTAGATGACGATAGATAATATCGTATTGAAACAGATATATATATTAAAAAAATATCGATAATACCTATAGACTGTTTGTTGTTGTACGAAGATGTTGTCGGAAAACATTGAAAAAAAAACATTACAAAGAGGAAAGTACACGTTTAAGTCAATTTCGGAAAAAACTCTGCTGAATGAGTTTTTTATCACTTGATTTTTTTTGGAAGATTCTTTGTCTTATTTTCATTACCAAATGCAGGTTCAAGAAAAGATTTTCTTTAGTTGTTTTTATTTCAAATGTGTTGGGTATTTTGTGTCCATAAAAACAAGAGAAAGATTGCATGTTCGATTTGGGTAGTCGCTTCGGGGGAATTGAACCCGCAACGTTTTTTTTCGGAAAAACAATCTACCATTGATTTACAAAGCGAAGTAATCGAGACATTACAGCTTTCTCTATTTAACTCTGCAGAAATGTATATTTTCATTTGTGTTCATTTTGATATTGTACAATTACACATTATATTTATTCTTTTATCTTTCTTCAAAGCGATGACATTAGACATAGAGCGAGTAGTATTGTTTTCAGTCAATGTACTTTTAAATGTGTTGAGGATATCGATGGGTGTGGGTGTGGGTATATTTTTTTCATCCACATTCACAACCATATACAGCAACAATTTAAAAAAAGGCAAAAGTGTTTAAGATATAGCAAGGTATGAATAATTGTTTCTCTCTTCTGTTTACTCAACATTACTCATTGAATGAATACTTTCGATCACAAAAAACTATTGAAGTTATGATTATATTTTAAAAAATACTAAAAATAGGAAGAAAGTACTGAAGTATCACTTAATGAATCATTCGGGTTTATGACAAATGTGAGTGTAAAAATCAAATATCAGTTTTCAATGAATTAGCACGTGGTCGAATTGTAATGTCTGGCTATAATGAGATAGAACCAGTGCTAAATAACTCTGTAATAATATAAAGTGGTATTCTAGTACCTTATCCATTAAAAAAGTTTTAGTGCTTTGTTTTTGTTTGTTTATTATCATTCTATTCAGTGTAATATTTGAAAATGTATCCCATACTCCATACAAAGGTAAAGTCAATATTATAAGATTCTGTAGAGGTCATGCTAGAACAAATCCAGTTAAGTTTACAATTCCTTTTAAAACAATGGTTTAAAGACTTTGTTGGATAGGATAGGTGTGAGTGTGGGTGCTATGAAATCATGCACACTCACACCTACATCCCATCATGATTTCGGAAAGTATTGCAGCGAATGACAATATGTAACATCCCAAATAAGGTTTTGCTCACTTGCTTCCTCTGCATGTTCTCTGATTCAATAAAGATCCGTTCAAGTCGATGTTTTCGGAAGTTATATCTGATTCAGTTCACGTCTTGGAAGTTTTCACTCACAACATGAATGAGCAACGTCTATGTAGATGTCTCATAACATCATAACGAGTCTCGTATGTGTGCAAAAAAAAATGATTCACTTCTTCCTTCTTTCTTAATCGGTGCTCGTAGTTGGCACTTTTCACTGCTGGAAGCAACCAAACTGAAACTCATACGCGTAAAAAATTGGCCATTATCTAAATTTGTTTCGATACTTTTTCGAAATGAATCGATCAAGTCCAATCAATTCCGATAGGCTTAAATACCTTCGTCGCTGTCAACGAAAACGAAAGTTGTCCCAAAAATGGAACCATGGCTTATCTGACCTTCCTGACATGGATGATTGTAACGAGAACTGCACAGCATCAGTGTCTTCATCTCAAAGATTGATGAATGTGGAACAGTTAGATGTAGAAAGACCAATAGTACCTGAACTCATTACATCCTATAATGAAAGTAAAACATTTGTCAAAGGAAATTCTGTTGGTTGTCCAATGATTCAAAAGTGGCGTGATCAATTTTTAGGAAAAGGCAAACGTCTAGAAGGAAACGAATGGCATGTGGTTGATGCAGCTCGCCAAGGTTTAATCAAAGTAGGAAAGGCGGAAAAATGCGCGAAAAAAGTTTTAGATCGTATTAATAAAGAATTTAATCGAATCAAGGGTCAATCGCGCGGCAAAATCGTTATGTATTGTATTCGTCTGTACACACGCAACGTATTTGTTAATCGAGTAGTAAATCGAGCACTCTGCAACGAAGATGAAAGCTATTTAGAAGGACTGGGACCATTCTGTTACTTACTTACACTACATATCTATGCGCCGACGACGCCTGCCTATAACGGGACTGTATATCGAGGATGCTCGCTTGAATCATCGGCGATTGAGAAATATCGACAGGCTATTGGACAAGGACCTGTAAAATGGCTCGGCTTTACATCGACAAGCAAGTCGAGTATTGTTGCACGATATTTCAGTGATAATGTAATTTTCAAAATCACATTGACAAATTTCAGCAATCGTTTCCAATATGGTCGACCAGTGGATATCTCACATTTGAGTGAGATGGACCAAGAAGATGAGGACCTCCTATCTCCCGGCATCATTTTTACTGTAGAGTCAATAGAAGAAAATTTGGATGACGGTTGCACCTATATTCATATTTACGCTCACGGACACTAATTAATGCTGTCTGATGACCAAGAACCATTACTCGAGCTGTTTTTTATACTTATTCAAGGCTAGTGCTTGTCACTAGATACTTTGATCTCATTTTTTTATGTTCATGTACTACCATCGAAATAGCAGAAACCTATTGTAATCATTGATTTTATTTTAAGATAAAAGGAGATCCTTATAATTAAGATTGATCGTTCAATAGCAAGTAACAATTGCCCGCGTTGATCATATGGGTGTGGATGTGGGTGTCTTTTGTGCATTCAGAGCTGCAACCGTACCCACATTCACACTGCAAACACACAGTCACACCCTTCCTGTCCTCTTTCAATGAAACATAAATTTTTGTTTTCGGCAAATAAAGTCAGTATTTCGTCGAACTAGTCTGAATGGCTGTTGGCAACCATTAAGGGTTTCATTTGTCCAAATCTTCAAATGTATACTTGATCGGTGTTTAAATGGGAAACTCGATTATACTCATTTCTCATCCGTGTTTGTTGATGGATAGAATGAAATAGATGGGGCGAGCTGCAAGCAATGGTCATGTACGTAACAATCAACGTGCACGATATGATCATGGCTAGATGTGTTCCTACGCACCCCATAGACTCAACCGTAATCTAAGCTTGAACTGTTACCCTGGTCACCATGAGTTCAGGTCACGCATCTTTTTTCAACATAATGTGCTTGTCCATAGATCTGGGTCGGAATTAGAGTACTGGATTGTCTTGGAGCAACTGACGCAACCGAGCACTGTTGGTAACTGTGCCCAGGAGCAGTCACACATAATTATTGCCTAGTACACATCATTCAATGTTGTACCCAAAAATATGATAGACCATTCGTCGAAAAGAATATAGGTGCAAATGTATAGGTATAAGGGTATAGTAGTAAGAGTGCAGATATAATAGAGTAAGAACATGGGTCTAAGGTATTAATGTGTTTATGTAGATGTAAAGCTATAGGTCTAGACCGTGAGTTTATCGATATGGACTTTAAGATACAAGTTCAAAGGTGTAAGTCTAACGCTATAGCACCAGGAATATGCATAAGCTCATATGTGTTATGGCAAGGTAGCAAAGGTTTACTAATGGCTTTCATTTCGATTCATTACGGTCATATACGTTTATTTGCGTGAAGATGCGGTCGTTAACGTTAGTGCATACTACCTCCTTCGTCGGAAATGCGACTGCTTTACGACACGAGTATCATTTTTAACGAAGTGCATATTTCGTCGCGTGTGGCACGGCGATAAACTATCACAATACAGTGTACACAAAAAAGTTAATTTACAGCTCGTATAGGTCGTATATTGGGTGGGTGTGGGTGTGGGTGTGGGTGGGTGTGGAGGTGTGGGTGGGTGTGTGAGTGTGGGTGTGAGTGTGAGTGTGGTGTGGGTGTGGGTGTGGGTGTGGGTGTGGGTGAGAGTGTGGGTGAGAGTGTGGGTGTGGATATTTATATGTATCAAATTCCGATCCACACCCACACCCACACCCTCACTGATTCAGATTCTGATGAATTTTTCTTTTCATCAAGTCTTTCACCATAGAATAAATAAATTCTTTCTAATAATTTGTCTATTTTAATTTCATTCGGCTGACCTTTGAATAAATGTTTAATAGAATCATTTATTTTTCCTTTACCTATTTTTTTCATTCATGAATTCAATTAATTGTTCTACACTTAGTTCATGAGATTTATTCTCACTGCGATCTTTTAAAATTTCTCCCCATTTATCAAAAGATTTTCTTCTTTAATTTATTTAAACTATCTTTATCTAGAATAAAGCCACCAAAAATTATTTCTCCTAAGAAATTATTCAATTAATAAAGGGTAGGTTTATCATCTTGAATTTGAATATGTTGTATCGAATTCAATAAATCTTTTAAAATATCTTTTCCTTTTTCATCTACAATTCTATATAGATAATCAACTGTAATTGATTTATTGAATTCAATGCCATACTTAAATATAGGAAATAGATCTAGTTTCATCGAAAGGATCTTTTTTTTTCAAGCGATACTTCCCATAAAGGCAAAGCCATTAAACATAGTTTGTTCAATAACTGATCATCTAAATCAATGCGACTCACTGTAACTAAATCAATGAATTCCATCAAAAATCTATTCAAATTATTTCTAATACTTTAGCTTCTTGATTCTCATAGTCTAAAAGTAATTGACCAAATATGTCTGTGAATAAACATTTTGGATCCATTTCGAATTGTAATGTTTCTTTTAAATGACTTAATTTATTAACTAATTCAGGATTAACATTTCCTCTTAACATTCTTGTTAAATTGTATGTTATACGAGCAAATAAAATATTAAATAACCGTTTATTTGTTTTCTTCTTATTAATTATTTGTTTTACTATCGATAATTCTTGAAAATCGGGAAGTATTGAAATTATTTTCATGAGATCATTCAATGAAATTTCAATTTGATTACTTAAAGTAATGTCTCGCATAATTTCAAACCAATCATCGGGACGATTTTCAATAAAAAATTGAGACATTTGAACAAAATTTTCAAATTTATCTAAAACATCTTTATTTTGCCTTTCTTCTTCAGTAGCATATCGTTTTAAAATTTTATCTTTTACTAGACTAAATTTCAATGCACTGAATTCTTCTAACCATGATAAAACAGATTTTACAAATATGTCAATTAAACTCTGTATTTTATGATTTCTTTCATCATCCTTTTCAATAAACGATAAAATCCATTGAATTTCGTGTTTTTCTTCGTCACTACTGAATAATGTTTTTAATATTTCTAGTTCGTAAATATTATCTAGCTGATTTACTATACAACATCCTAACAAATCGATCTCATTTAAATGATGTTTCACATATTCAATAATTCGATTTTCATTAGACTTCATTGAAACATAACTTTCTTTCGTTTGTATCATTTCATAAACTAGTGTCGATATTTTTTCAAATTTTTCACGTGGACTACGATTTTGCTCAAAATTGAAAGATGAAAAATCAACTGAATCTGCATCATCTACAAAGAAATTCTTATTCATGTGATAATGAATCTCAAATACTTTATCAATTTTAACTATAACTATTTCTTTATCAGGGTGTGGGTGTGGGTGTAGGTGTGGGGTGTGGGGTGTGGGGTGTGGGGTGTGGGTGTGGGTGTGGGTGTGAGTGCAGGTGTGGGGTGTGGGGTGTGGGTGTAGGTGTGGGTGTGGGATGTGGGTGTGGGTGTGGGTGTAGGTGTGGGTGTGGGTGTAGGTGTGGGTGTGGGTGTGGGTGTGGGTGTGGGTATGGGTGGTGTGGGCGTGGATCCCCTTTTCATTCACACCCACACCCACACCCACACCTACACCTACACCCACACCTACACTCATCCACACCCACACCTACACTCATCCACACCCACACCCACACCCTCAAGTGTGCTTTATCCTCAGGCATTGTTATGAGGACATCAAGAATCAGTTTAATAAGCAACGGATTAATAATAAGTAGATGAGACAATTTGTCGAGTTGTTCTGCTCGCCTTTTCAGTGCAACGAATAGTAACACTCTTATTTTGTGTTTCTAAATTTATTCAAGAATCAACAATGCTCCGAAGTTTTAGTCTTTTCTTTGATATTTCTACACTTAATGTGCCGCCTTCCATTGTATACAATTATGCGGCAATCTTTCAAGCAAAAATCTTGTAGAAGTAGTACGGTACTCGATGTTAACCTCAACATGATAGTTTATGTAACGCAAGGCATCGGTATGGTAATCAGAAAAATATTCGACCGCCCCGTGTTTTTATTTGTTTTTGAACTGTTGATGCCATTTTGTTATCACTAAGCAACAATATCTGAAGTGCCTATAGATAGAAGAGAAACTGAGTGTGACAGAGATGAAGGAAGAATAAGAGTCATCATGTTTTTTCGCATTTCTGATGTTATTGTTGGTGAGATTCCATGTAGTGAGCGCTTATCTGTAGAAGAGAGGTTAGATATTAAAAATATGAAGAGAGAATGAGTGTCACTATGAGTATGGATGTATGAGTGCGATTGGAAAGAAAAAATGAATCTCTACCCAAATTCATATCTACACACTGGCTGAAACTCTCAATTAAGTTCGTCGATATAAAATAATTGTTGAGAAAAGATCTTCATGCTCTCCTATGTAAAAAAAGATTGGAAAAGAGTCAGATTTTAATCGATTTTTTTCTGATTAATAATCGATTAAAATGGCACGATTTTAACAGATTTTAATCCGATTTTTTATCATAAAAATCGATTTCGTCCGATATTCCCTATGTAATCAGTTTTTATGATTAAAAATCGGATTAAAATCGATTATATGTAAAACAATTTATCAAAATCAATTAAACTCGAGTTGCTCTCGGTTTCTCGCATGGCTGTGGTTCAGTGAATTTTCATCTCTTATTGCTTCCTAGTACATTTTAATCTATCTTTACCTGTTTCTCGATCTTAATCCATCTTTATCTGTTTTCTAATTTTAATCTTTACTTACTAGATAATCGATTTCAATCATATGCCTCGAAAATAGGCGCTTCTACCGAGATTCGAATGCGAAACTCTAGTTTTCCTATGAATTTTTATACTCTCCGTGGCAAGAAATATCTAGGCTGTTGTCAAGCTAGTATCTGACATATATACTACAATTGAAACTCCTATATAAATTGAATCAATTGAGATTCCTCAATAACATAGTCAATCGATTAAAACCTAAAATAATTGATTAAGATTGATTAAAGTTCATATCAATCGATTAAACTCACACAAATCCATTAAAATCTGTTAAACCGCGAGATTAATCGATTAAAATTGATTACAGTATTAATCGATAATTTGGGTTCCGTGATAAAGCAATTAGCGTAATCGTTGTAGAAATAAAATTTGAAGCACAACCAAATCCATTCTCATTGACTTCATGCAAACTGAGATTTTCATACATATTACGACATATTTCTTTGGCAGGGTGTGGGTGTGGGTGTGGGTGTGGAGCGTGGGTCTGGTGTGGGTGTGGATGTTAGTCCTTTGCCTATAACACCCACACCCACACCCCACACCCACACCCACATCCACACCCACACACCGACACCCACACCCACACCTACACCCACACACCCACACCCACACCTCACCCTCAAAATTACTTTGTTTAAGAATTAATTCGATTCTTTTTTTTTCTTTAGAGTTGGAAAAAAACTACTGCCTAAAGCCAATGAAATGCAGCACACTCTCTTTTTATTTTTGAGAGTTTGTCATGAAAATGAAAGCAATACATTAGATGTTCTCTGTACACAAGCATCCAATCAACTTTTTGCTGAAAAGAACGATAAGTCAACATGTCGCATGCTGCGCACTCCATGTTATCAAAAGCAAGAGTGTAGCTGTGCCTTTGGATTGGTATTGTGTAGTATTCCAGTAGATTAAAGATCCCTATGTGCATGCAAATACAGATGCCTATAAAAAGCATAAATGTGAGTGTAGGTGTTTGGTAGGGTTGCAAGTAAGGTGTGAGTGTGATTGTGTGGATATGTGGTTAAGTGTGGTGTAGTATTGAAGTTGGGTGTGAGTGGCTGTGAGGTATGATAATAGAAGAGAGTATTACTGAAACCCACACTCCGTACGCACACGCACTCACACCCAACACTCACCCACACCCACACCCAGCCACCCATACCCGCACCACACCCCAAACCCACACCCCACACCGATACACCCACCACCCTCAAGACGCGTTTGCTCACTGTAAACGCGTTCAGACACCCGAACATGTTGCAATCTCGATGCGTCCCAACGCGTCAGGTTGCATAACTGTTAGACGCTCAGGGACGCGTTCAAGATCGAAAAATAGCTATCTGAGATATACAAAGACAGACAACATACGCACCCACACCCTTATTTTCATGATTTATAATTCTTTTATATGCCGAAAGATTGAAATAAGGTGATATATTCGATAAAAAATAAAGAATTTTTTGTCAAGTCAGACTCCTGTTCAAAAAGTAGAGTCCGCACTAGGGATGGGAAGTTCCCGTTGCGTTCCCGGGTAACGGTAATTTTTCCGTTACCAGTTACTCTCTAAAAAAAACAGTATTCTCGGAAACCAAGGGAGAAAGGTTTCCGAGTGTTCGGAAACCCATTTCTTGCCCTCGAGAACCCTTTTATCGGTTTCCGAAAGCTCGGAAACCCATTT